ACTACGGCTGAGGATGATGATGTTTCACAAGGACACACAAGTACACAGATTGAGAAACGGCTAAAATGATGAGACAGCTTGAGGAATAATTCATAACCTTATAAAACTAAATCCATTATACCACCCACATGAGCTACTGCAGCAGATAACCTGCTCCTGTGCTTCTTTCTGTGTTTTCCAGGTTTCCAGTGGTCAGGCTGCAGTGATAACATTGCGTATGGAGTGGCTTTCTCTCAGTCTTTCGTGGATGTCAGAGAGAGGGGTAAAGGCCAGTCTTCTAACCGCGCCCTCATGAACCTGCACAACAACGAAGCTGGGAGAAAGGTGCTCATTCCTTAAGATCTTTATATATGAGATATAGTTATTCCCAAAAAGTTAAAATGTCAGAAATGTCCCAACAAAGCCTTGTTTTTGCTTAGAAAACATGCAAAATTGAAACTGACGAACGGGTCCACCCATTTGGAATCGAGGTCATTTGGCTTCTTTTGCTTCTTTTTGCTCAACGCCATTTCTGACATTTTGAATCGAGAAACGTCTTCAAACTTGGAAACAAAGTCCAGTGGATTGTTTTTTAACTTTTTTGCAATGACTATGACCTGGATGACTGAGAATCTACACAAACAACATTTCTGTTTTGTTTTGGGGGGATCGTACCTTATGGTGTTTCAGTTCCGTTATAGGAATACAGAACATTACATTTTTCCTTGATAACAATTTTATACCTATATGGAGTAAACCAGGGTTTATTGCAGGTCACCAAAAATCCTTAAATGTGATTATCATGGGATTTAAAATGCTTTATTTAAAAAAAAAAGTTTCTAAAAACTATTTGGTCAGATATATTATATGAGATGTAACTGGTTCTGCGTTTTTGTACGGAAAGCCGTTTGCTCGGAAAAGAAGCTTGAGGCGGAGAAAAAGCTAGAGAATGGAAAAATGCAGATTTCAACAAAAGTAGCTGGAAAACAAGGAATTCCGGACATGGCTGCAGCCTGTCGACGGTAAAGATGACCAACCATTTTGCCATATTTATATATATATAAATATATACATATATATTATATATATACCGGTTCGATTCACGGTTTCTGGTCACGGTTTTCGGTTCAATTCGATACATGTTGATTGTTACACCGAAATTCCATAAAAAATTATGAAATTAATGAAAAAATCTCCCCAAAAATAATTGATTGTAATTATTTTAAATGATCCGCGGAAACCATGGATCATTTCCGTATGTTTTGCTGCTTTGAATTTAATCATCTGGCGCATGCTCTCTAACCTGACAACAGCCAGATGCATGGGAGCGAGACATGCATCTGGCTGTTGTCAGGTCACATGCTCTCTACCATCTCCAAGGAACTCAGAGGGGAGTGGACGAAGCCACAGTGG